TAACATGCAGAACCCATCTAGAATGTAAAGAGGCTTTAGCCTTGATATTTTTCTAAAAATGGATTTTTGGGTTTACCTGGAAAAAATAACCTTGTGCAAAAGAAATAAATTTTCTACTGCTCTGTACTGTTTATATATTTCTAATTTTTTCTAGTGTCTTTGGTTTTCAAAACTTTGTTGTCGTAATATTTTTTTTTGGGGGGGGGATCCGCGAGATGTAAACTTTGTCTTTTGATTAAGTGACGTTTTGGACTTTATAACTATGACTAAAAGAACAGATTTCAGGAATAATTGAGTTGGTATTCAGAATAGAACAGCATAATTCACAAAAGAGTTCTTCGTGCTCATCCGTAGATCTTTGATACGACCGCCAAATTAGATGGTCTTTCTTCAGTTGGAATCCTCATAGGATACTTGATTATTTTATCTGCCATGAGCTCGTAAAAATGTATTAACTTTGTAAATGATTAAGATCCGAAACTAGTGATAATCATGGATTACTAAATTGCTTTCGAGCTCAAGTAAAGTAATATATTTGTTTATTGCATTGATTTCCCAGATATATTTGGGAAAGCTGACTTGAAAAATGCTTTCAGGCAGGCAAGAGATAAGGTTTTCAAACCTTTGCAATATGTGTTTGTTTGAGGGCCTGCTAATGTTGTTGTTGTTTTATGTGTGTGGGTTTTTTTTCTTTTTAGGCTAAAATGTTTTGTATCTAAATGATGTCATATAACTAATACGTAAGCCTGATGTCTAAAGCCTGAAGCTCATCTAAGCCTCTTGGTTTCTCTACAGGTTTCCGCGCCAAATGTTAAATTTTCAGTAATATCATATTATATTAGATTATGTTAATGTGTGTAATTCCTTTTATTTCTACTGGTTTATTATGATTGGAAAATGGCAGAATAAACAAATAAACAAAGGTTAATAAGAAAGAAGCAATAATGCCACAAAACAAGAGTCGACGGTCGAGAAAACGAGGAAAAGCGATAATGTGGCGGTGCAAAAGTCAGAGTGCGGGCATTATCGCGCTCCTAAGTAAGAAATTACCATAAAGAAATTTGATAACAAGTTTTCATAAAAAAGATCTAATTTGGCCTGTGGATGAAAATCGAATTGAATTTTTAAATTTGCACTCAGCGTCAATTTGACTCGATAGATTTTTTGATATATTTAAAAATGGCCTCTTTGTCTTTTATTTTCCTTCAATTTGATTGGTTACTTTAAACGAGCCTTGAAATCTGATTGCTTGTTTGGTTTAAGGTGGGTTTCTTTTAATATCACATTCGTACCCACAGAGTTTTGAAATTCTTCCCATACACAAGTTACGGCCAGATGCCACGAAATTTCACAAACCATTCAAGTTTGCCCGCCGTTCAGTGGTTATAATGATGATGTCGGGCATCCTGTGCGATGTTAAGTATCATCTTTAGATAACCATAAATTGCTTCAATTTTCTTCAACATTCCTGAACCCCATTATTTTTTAATTTTTCACTTTCCCATTACTTCTCATTCTACGAAACATTCTCGCCTCCCTATATCCTACATGGAACGAAGGATTAAAACCTGTGATGATAATTAGTAACAACGTTTATTGAACGTGGTTGCTATGGTTTTTTTATTATGAAAGTTGTCCGCGTATTATAGCAATTATGTCTACATGATCAATCAATTAAATGGCAGCGTTTGTCTTCTCCCGGTATCAAGTAGCCCTTCTCAAAGTATCATTTGATAAGGTATAGCAAAGAAAATTCGGCAACGAAAAGCAGCTCTTGGCTTAGCTTTGCCCGTTGATCGCATTCAGGCTATGCACTAATGCTCTGTTTGTTGACATACTTTAATCGGGGCCACAAAGCATGACGAAGGGAATTAATAGCAAAACACACAGTCGTATTATTTAACCGAAGTTGTGTTAATGCCATGCATTGCTGGCGTATTTCCATAGAACTAACTACTAGTCTGGAAAATAAAATCTTTTATACCTATAACGTCTACATGATCAATTAAATTGTAGAATTTGTCCTCTCACGGTATCTAGTTATCCCTCTCAAAGTACCATTGCAAAGAAAATTCTGCAACGAAAAGTAGCCCTTTGTTGAGCTTTGCCCGTTGGTCGCAGTAATTAACTATTACGTGTACAGTTGCTATGCACCAATCTTCTGTTTGTTGACATTCTTTAATCCGGGCCACGAAGCATGGGCGGAAGGGAATTAATAGCAAAACACTGAATGCCATTGCTGGCGTATTTTCATAAATACTAGTTGGAAAATAAAATCGTGTAACAAGAACCGACTTTTGTAAACATGAACTGTAATATGGTGTTTGTTTCTCCGGTCTCCAACATAGAAACTTTCCGGGATAAAGTTCCTACTTCCTTGTCTTGAGACACAGATGTTTTAGATGGTCGATAGGTTCTCTTCATACTAATTATAAGTAGCAAAATGTTACGTTAGAGATTCTAAGGCCCCTCTTAAGCTCGCTATAACTTGATTACTATGACTTTTTCCCCCGCCTGAGTTTGTCCAAACGTCAATTACTTTTACATTATCGACAACAGCTTTTTTCAAGAGTACTTTCCGTCAGACGATCAGACTACACGATCGACGGTTACTCCTAGGTTGAAACCATATAGTGAGTATTCTTAAGGTAAGGCTTACCGTTGAAATTGATCCTGACTGATTGCACACCACAAAACTAACTTTCGAGAACGTTTACGGGCTGCTCTTTAAGATAATTAAGCTCACATGATGAATTTACCGCAGGATGCTGTTGTAGCCGGTCAGAAGTCTGACAGATTTTGCTATATTTAAAGAAATAATTTGCATTAGGATCAATGCATTTTTGCGATCCAGCGACTTCATTCTCGAAATTTACGATCTTCCTGTTATCACACCGTCGAGTGGAGGGAACTCAGGGAGAGATTTTGTGAAACAAAGAAACTTGTTCACAAGTTCGTATCCTGGTGAACAATTGCCCACTTCACTGGTCAGTTACAAAATTCAGACAATTTACCTCACTACGAGTGAACATTCCCTCTCAAGTGTGTAATTACACTGACACAGTCAGCCGTTTTTCCACCCTATCAAACACTGACAAGAGTGTTCAATTTCCTAATGTCGTTCACTCAACTTCAAGAGAAAAATAAGCAATTATTGAATGAGGTTGAGAATGATATCATGAAATTCCGACATCTGAGGTCCAATTTTAACAATTGCTTTGTTATTCGCTTTTTAAACAACCTGCAAAAGGGGACATCACTCAGACGAGGGGGCTTGGAAACTAGCTAGACTTTGAACTCGACATGATATCATGTCATCTTCACCCGCTATAAGATATCATTATACATTCAACTCACTATCTCTTTTCTGATTGGCCGAAAGCGTACAGGGAATTTTCTTAATCAGTGCCTGGGACGTCATCTAACTGCAGATTATACGATAATCAAGTCAAGGACACTCAAGGTCACGGGTAATCATGTCATGTTCGTGCGCTTTGTGTTTCTTGCTGATTTGTATACTTTTACACTTTTAGAAATAAATTACCAGTTCCACTTACTGTCGTGACCATTTTTTTTTTGTCGTTTAATTTATAATAAAACAATTATTAGATTCGGTTTTTGTGATATCCAGAATAATTAAGGTTTTGGTAAGGGTTATTAGCCTCAGCCTTCCACTTCGACTGATAACCCCTACTTCGACTTTGATTACTCTGGATATCATAAAAGCTTAATCATATGATTGTTTATTGACTCAATGCTCTCGACCAATCAGAGTTTTATAGTAAGGCTTTCGTATAATCACAAGAATTATCACATGATCTAATAGCAAGAAGACACTTAGGAGTGACAAAGTTGTGCCATCGAGTCTCATCTGTGAGTCATAGTTTGATTTGATTTTACCGAGTTATATTGTAATGGCAAGAGATCATAAACCCTTGGTACTGAAAGATAAGATATCCTACCAGCCACGCTCAGTATACTGAATGCACAAACTTGCTAGAAACTTGGAAAATTTGATTTTATCAACTGCGTTGGTAATGTATATCGCCCACTGTAAAAAGTTTACGGTGGTCAATTTACATCATATATCAGAACAATTAGCTTATTCAGATGTTCGGATTACATTTCAGACCGGGTGTGTGAGAGTAATGTGATCCTATTGATAGTTTGGGATGACATGTTCGGTGCAGAAATTGATCTATATTTTAATCTATACATTTACTGTACAGACCCGCGGCGACATGGAATCTATTTGTTTTAAATGATACAAAAAAGGCACATTTTTGTTAATGTTGACGACTTTTATGCGTCTGTCCTCCAAAAGATCATTAGTAAGAACCTGTCAAAATGCGCTTTTAACTTACTTTATTATAAAAATTATATTCCTTTTGTGAAAAATGATGACGTGTGTTTGTGAGCTGACGATAAACTATTCCTCATAGTGCATCTCTATGCTAACACCACCGAAAAAGTCATAAAATAACTAATTCATGTGTCGGCTATGCGCCCAGCAAAAGAAAGAAGTACTCAAGAGGCTTTAAATATACCCTCGGCTACGCTTAAACTCTTACGCACCTTTGGTGCTTTAAAATTTTTCGGCGTGCTTCATATCCCAATGAACGCACAGCTAACGCACGAAACAACTGTTGAGAGAATATTGGGAGAATAAGAATCAATTTAGCTACTTCAACTTAGCCTTCTTAACCCGCCCACGGGCCATTTCTCCGGTCTACCTTGGATTACTCACACCTTGGATTATTTTGGCATTCTAAACACAATTTTTTAGACATTGGAGCCTAAGTTAGAGTTTATGCGTCGATCAAGTCGAAGCTTTAGCATCCTCCCTTAAACAACCCTCCGAGCAAAAGATTGGTTTGTTCAAATTCCCGCTCAGTTATTTGGTAAAAAGCAAAATTCTACATTTCAGGATCAAGCCTTAAAACCTAGACCTTGTAAACTTTCTCTTCTAAGCCATTTCCTCGCGAAAGTGAACTATTTACCTTTAAAACTTTCATATTCAAAGATATAACACTTGCATTCCTCTGGAAAGACTCGATACTTCCGGTTCAAATTCCCCATCGTTACCCAGGCAAGGCTCAAATTCCCCTCTTCCTCTCTCCTCCCCCCCCCCCCAAGTGAGGACGAGTGAAAGGGTTAATAGTTGGATAATGAGCTTAAGATATCTTGTGGGAAAATTTGATGAGCCGCGATGCGTGAATCCCCTGTCACGTTTGGAAATCAAGAGCGAATAATCGCTTTATATTAAATCTACCAGTCGTCCAAATTTAACAAAACAGGCTGATACTTTTATTTCATTTTCCTTCTAAACGCACACTGGTAGGTTACTCACTACTTAACGCCGAATAGAGAGCGAGTAGCGTGGCCAATCAGATTGTTACGTTTTGATAAAACTTGAGCTGCACAACCCCATTTAGTTTTTACTGTTCGACAGTTACAACGTTTGCTATTTCTGACTCTATCAGTAGCTTTTCCTCTCTATATTTACTTTTTTACCCGGTCCTCATGAGTTATCCTTCCTCAGTACTCGAATTAGAGAAAAAATGATTCAGTCTTTAATTGTGTTTAGCTCATTGTCAAAAGTCATACTTTTTATTAACTTTCTGAGGCGATTTCGATGTTCTACTCCCTCGTCATTTTTTTCGTGCTTCAATTAACATATGAACACAAAACGCTTCACTCAATAAAGTGATCTTTTATTTCCCCTCTTTAAGTCTATCCACTGAAAGCTCGTCAGAAATACTAATGCGGATGTTTTTGAAAAATAGCTGACAATCCACATAACACTTAAGAAAACTACGCCCCTTATCAAGATTATTAATTATTATCACTAAGGCTCATGTGTGAGATGATTGTTTACATGTCTAGGTTACTCTAGACAATTGTGATGTGCTGACTTCAATATAAAGCAGCATAAGCAACTGGAAGATTCTTCCATTCTCTTACTTTTCAATGTCTACAATTTCATGTAACTACTTCTAAGGCATTGATTAGCGATACCCTTGAAAAAACATTATCATAAAAATTTACATCTTTACTATCTTTGAATATGGAAGAGATCTTGGTAATGACCACTTCTTGAGTAAAGGTGTTTTTTTCAGGCCTTATATTCACTACTGCTTAGGTAGTGTTCATTACTGCAAAAATTGCTTCCATATTCATTTCTTCATCCGCATATCACATTCAAATATTTACAGTCATTTATTCACCACTTGACTGGTTTCTTTGGAACCAAAATAATGACCAGCTCCCGTTTGGCATGTTAGCTCAGTTAGTAAGACACTGATTGCCAATACCCTCGAAAAAAATTATCAAAAAAATTGCATCTTTACTATCTTTGAATATGGAAGCGATCTTAGTAATAAACACTTGTAGTGAATTTTTTTTTTCAGGCCTTATTTTCATTACTGATTAAGTAGTGTTTATTACTGCGAAGATTGCTTCCATATTCATTCCTTTATCCACAGTTCACATAGATGATTTACGTATGTTCACAGTCATCTGTTTACTCTCTTTTTAGTTGAATTCCATTCAAAACTTAACACGGGATTTTCATATGAGGTTCTCAATGGGGTTAACCGATCATTTAGCTGTTAGCCGTAAAAATTGACAAATTTTAGCCTTAAGTCGTAAAAAAGTTAACCGTAAAACAAAGTTATGGTGACAACAATGGAAAGATATTAAACGTTAGCCGTAAAATGGCCAGAATTCTAACCGTTAACTGTAAAAGCCATCACTCCATTAAGAACCTACAATACTCTCAATTCGGCAAAACTCAGACTCAAAGACACTTTTAATAGTAAGTCTTACACAGACCTAGCCTCCTGAGAGGTACTATCTTTATCTCGACCGCTTGATGAAAATTTTAAAAGTTAAAGCCTTTATAGCTGTTAAGTTTAATATGTTCAGAAGTATTCCGTACAGCTCAATTCCAGATAGATATATTCCATATCTACCAGAGGAATTTCTACCTGTCTGGAAAATTCGAAAAAAACGAAAAGCCGGTATTTCCCCTCTGACAGACCACGTACCTGTATAAAATGGAGGAGAAGCGGCGAACTGTGGATCCTTCCCGTCGTAAATAGTTTTAAGTTTTTCCCAGTTCTTTCCATCATGAGATCCCTCTAGTTGCCAATCGGTAAGTGCTGATTCTCCATGCCTTTTGCCTTGTCTCAAAGAGTAGTGTGTGATTACGAGTCGATGGCTTAAGCCCAGATCAATGGACCACCATGAATTTTCTCTTTCCGCTGTTCCACTAATGGCGCCTTTCTTATGGTTTAATATGTCACTTGCTTCTCCCGAGCCATCAGAAGATCTGGAACAACGCAGTTTTCCAGAAGCATCTCTCTTTAGGAAGCATATGACACCAGAACAGTTGCCGGCAAATTCCTTTCCAGTCGGTAAGAAAACGCCTGAGAGTGAAAAAAGAAAGATAGAAAACACTTAAAATAACAACGTAGCCTCTTCCCTCATCATCTGGCATCTAACAACTATCTGTTATTACGTTCATCAGGTTATCAATCCATCATTTCGTTTCCTTATTCATCGATTCAATTGATCATTTGTTCATTTATTTAATTTTGGAGATAATAAAATGATTAAGAGACAGCGCGCACTCTGATCCATCAAAACCTATCGTTTATTGTGACAATTAACCAAGAACTTTTAATCTCTTGCAATTTTACCCTTTACAAAAATAAAATGACCATCAAATTCGGCATTTGGGGAGGTCATTTGAACACTATTTTGGCCACGGGGGGCCGAAATTTGAATAAACCAATCTTCACAAGTTTAAATCATCGGGGGATTGCCCGGGGGTGGAGGGGGGATGTTGAAGTTTTGAATAGATCAACGCATTAATCGTGAGGAAGTGTGGTCTATCATTCATTCAAAGTTGAACTACCGTCGCGTTCATTTACCATCAAACATGTTTAATGGTAAACAAATGTTATTTTATGGTGTTAGGGATATCACATTACCAAAAAACTTTGAAATGAAACAGATTAGCAGCGGATATCACAGCACATTTATCTTTGTTCATATGTACTTACGACTTTGGAAATTGATGTACTTCTTAAGCTCCTCTTGTAACCTCTTGCATTCTGACTCAGAGCTTTTCACTTTTTTGTTGAGCTCCTCTATTTGACTCGACAGGTCACCATTTTGAGTCTTTAGCTGATCCAGCTCCTCTGGATCTGTTTGAACTTGTAACTTCAATTTTAGTTCCTCCTTATCGGCTTTTAGCTCTTCAATCTGTTCTACCATTTTTTTCTTTTTTTCAACAAGATCTCTTTTCTTCGTCTTAGTCTTTTCATTTATTCTTTTCAACTCTTCTACGTGATCGAGTTGAATTTTATTATTTCGTTCTAAGCTCGAAATTTTAGTGTTGTTTTCTCTGATTATCTGATCCTTTATTTTTGTGTCCTTCCTCTGAAGTAGTTTAATGTTTTGACGTAAAACTTGAGCGCATAACCTTGGTAAAAGCTGAGCGTTAAAAATCCCCACGAGCCGCTACTTTCAACAATTTACTACTTTCATTTTTTATTCCTATAATCCAAGTAACCTCAAAATCTGCCTGTTCTGAACCGCGTGAGAAACTAAACCTCTTACACTTATTTCTTGGAGCTGACCCTGAGTGAGTTCCCTTAAAAACAGTAGATTACGCACCAACCAGCTTCTAGGCGGCTTTTCCCATCCCTATCTTTACTACAGCACCTGCAAGATTTCCTACAGTTGATTCATTGGGGTTGCTCTGTCTTCACTTATCGACCACTTCCCATGCTCTTACGCGGTTTGAGTCGCAGTCAGAAGTAAGATTACAAACCACAGGTGATCCCAGCCTTAACTCAGCACCCATGTCTCTCCAGGCTGTACTTACTTCATCGCATATTAACAATATGTTATTATGTTATGTTAATATGTGTCTTCGTGTGACAGGTGCTTGTAAACTACCCAAGGTGTGTGCAAAAAAAGTATGTATCTTATTGAAAACAATATCTGTCACATGAAAAACTGAATTATTGACAACAAAAAGTCCTGGAAGCTTTGCTAAGAGCCGCAGAAATTATTAATCTGATTGCCATACTGAATTATTAAGAGGATAATTAGTAGACCTAAAATCCATTTATTAAATGAGAATTGAGGAACCTTCATTGCTGGAGATTAAACCATTCATGTTTCTCCAGGAAGATCGTTGTCTGAATGCAGTTAAGCTGAGGCAATTTCCACCTTCTCAAAGCTAAAGCAGATAGAAAAAAAACTGAATTTTGGTTACCATTTCTATTGTTATTACTGAACAAGCGAGCTGACATAGTTACCACAGGTTCTGATACCCATTTAACATAAACAGCACTATGACTTACTATTTAGTCCCTGAAACCTGTGGGAACACTCTTGTATTTATTTAGGCAACACACTGTGAGGAGCAGTGTTCTTCACATTTTCATCTTGGTGAAGCAGCTGAAATAATATGGAGAATTTCGGTTTACAATGAGCCATAAACTGCTTAGTAGGGTTTCTACTTTATACTTTCGATGTTCTCGTTATACTTCTCAGAAATTGTTTGCAAAATAACCTCCCCTCTGAGTGTAGAGAACTTTGGCATCTTTTAGGTATGTGAGTCGCAAAATGAGTCTGCCATAAATTGAGAGTTATAGGAAGATGAAACTAACTAATTTCCCGTACTAAACTCGTCAAAAAGTAGGTTAGTCGTCTATAAATATTCCATCACCTGGACATTTTTTTTTTTTTTTTCAGATATTTAACCGGCCCCAAACTTGGACCAAATCATCATATCAGCTGATGAGATGATGGCTGAAGGAAAATTACTGAAACTAATCACAACCATTACAATTTCCTCAGATGTGATTGGTGCATTAACTGCTTTATATTTATTTTTCGCTAATTATTTTTTAGAATTGTAATCGGACAGTGTAATCAGATAGTTGGCTGTAATAGGACAGACGAAGCAGCCAATCGTTCTAAGTCCTCCTAGCTAAATCCACCAATCACAGAATCGAACACAATAACCATAGCAAAAGTCACTTAACCGAAGAAAAACCGGAGAGTTTCCAAAATGGAGGACTTTTTAACTTTAATACATTGTCTTCACTTATTTGCTCTAAATGTGGTTTTTTCCCGAAATTTTAATGATTATGATTAATTAGTAACAGGACTGAGTGGCATTCAATTCTGTCTGTGATTTTGCCAATCACTCGATTTTGCCAATCACTCGCATGATTACAGACCGAATAGGACTCCACTCAGTTTTATTGCCATTGTTAAGCAAATTGCACCAGTTTCCCAAGTAAGATAACTTCACAAAAGTCGAACCAGTTTACAGATTGGAAGCAGCTAATCAAACCGAAATAGAAAATTGTATCAGCTGATCAGACTTTATCAGCGTTCAAAACTGTACCGTAGCTCACCAAAGTGAAGGAAGCTGGTGTTTCTAAACCTTCGTTCACACTCAGTTGACAAATATGTAAAATCTAAGAGTGTGCAAATGTCAGTTATAAAGTAATTTCGAGTTAATAATTCATAACTCGCTTTAAATTAATACGTAAAGAGCAGTTCCCCAACAAAAGATTTACATGTGGTACAATTTTAGTAAATTGACTACAGTCAGCACTCAAAACACCTTAGGGATAGGCCTAAGCTGTGTGTCCGAGAGTGGAATGAGGCTCTGAGTTAGTTTACTTAAAAGCAAACCAAGGAAATTTTACTGAGACTGGCCAGCAATAAGGACTATCTTGCAAAGGTTTCCGAATAAGGAGAGAGGGGACTCGAGCACTCAAATCGCCTGTGACTAATTTTACATATTTTAACATCATGACGAGGGCTGGCATGTGTGGGTGTGTGTGTTTGTGGGTGAGATCTTTCTTCTTCGGCTTAGAAATAACGCCAAAATGACGATTTTTTTTCCACTCATTGAATTGGCAAGTTTACTCTATGTGTGTCCTCTCCTTTTTTTAGCTCTTAGCCCTAACCGTAAGGTACCCAAACACGATCTTGCTGGGTTTAAATCATCACATGTTGTTTTATTGTCGCCTAAGTATATTTCATCCAAGGATACTTCGTCAGACAACTTTAAGACGCCTCCTAGCAAAACCGAATGCAAAGATAATTTGCATCTGCTTAACTACTAATACTGAGCCCTTGAGAACTTTGTGGTGAGTTAGGCCGTGGATAAGTTCATGTGTGATACTCGTTCTGCATACTTCGGAGTCCGATGGTCGGGAGTTTGATTTCTCTTGGCGACTCACTCAAATTTTCTTTGTCCCATGTTCGTGAAAAGACGAATAACATCAATCTTCGCATCCTTTGACGACCTTTTTTAGTTGCAAACTAGCTATTTGAAACAAAATTTTGGATAAGAGACACACTTTGTAAGAAACTATAGAATCTCAGATTAGTATTCTAAAACAAGAGTCGGAAATCAGCTAAGAGACGGAAATTACACTAGACAGAGAAAATAAGTTCGGAGACAAACACTTCTGCTATGTTTCATCATCAGATTTGATGACAGAAGCCAGACAAACGAAATAAAAAACTATCTGTGTAGACAATGAACAAGAAAATAACTTACCTTTTATCTTTCAGTCAGAAGTCGTGGACAATTTGTCTTCAGAGCAAATTTTTCGAAAACGTGCGCTGTCAGCAGTACTATGTAATTAGTGACTTTTCTCTGACAGCAAACAGCAATTAATACAAAGAGAAGTAGCTTCATGTTACGTTCAAATGCCTAAATACTTGCCATTAAACGGTAAAGCAATTATAATCTTAGAATTCTGTGGTGAAGAGAAAAAAAATGCATTTATTTCGCAAAAAATTATCCATGAAGACGTTCAGAAATGTCATTCGACGTTCCCAATCACCCTTTCCCTCGGCTTCCGTTTCAGCTGTTGACAAAACATTTGAACAGTTACCAAGTAACCAATGACATGCCATTTGAAAATAACGAAACTTTACACTACAAAATGACAGCGTACAGGATGCACATTTGAAAAGTGGCGTGGGCTCATAGAAAATTTTGAGACTGCCACCGTCTACTTTGCAAATAATGACTAAAACGCATCGATGTAAGGTATTTTTAGGAATTTAACATCCAATACCACAGAGATGTAAGTTAATCAGTCTTTCACATATTATTTCCGCGTTTGTGCATCGGTTGACAAATGAACACAAAATGTTTCCCTTAATCTGATTAAACAATTGTTTATTTTTCCTTTTTAAGGCTATCAATTGAAAGCTCGTCTAAAATACTAACAAAGTAGTTTTTTTTAATCAATTGAGTTGATAATTTAATCTGGCTACTGTTGGCTACCGTAAAGAGTTTCAAAGCTGACGTTTCGAGTGTTAATCCTGATTCGCTCTGACGAAGGGCTAACGCTCGCAACTTCAGCTTAGAAACTCTTTACGGTGGCCAATTTCTATTATCAACTCAGCAGATAACACCAAATTATTTTGTTATTCTCCCCCACCTACGCAACACAACAGCTTCTTTAAAACTTACCCCCTTTATTCAAAATACTGACGTTTTGACGAAAGTACATATAGGAAGAAAAACAAAAATAAAATGATAAAAAAAAGGCCTCACTTTAAATCAGAAACGCCATAAAGTTGTTGTCACCTGATAATGTTGTTGAAAATAGGCAGAAACTCTACATAACACTTTTAAAACTGCATTTCTTATCACCAGTGATAAAAACGTTGATAGTCCTCCTCTACTCCCCAGGTTTGGAAAATTCAATAATCCAGTAAATTCCTAAGTAAATGAATATCTCCTGACAAAACTCGAGCAGACAAAAATTGGCACTTTATACTCGATCGCTAAGGCTCATGTGTAAGATGATTATTTACATATATACTCCAGCAGTATAGACAACTGGAAAATTATTCCAGTCGTTCACGTCTCAATATTCACAAGCCATGTGACTGCTTAGAAAATACTGCTTTGGCATATTCTAAAAAAAAATGAAAAAAAAAAATGAAAATTTGCAACTTTGTTATTTTTGACCTGCAATCCATTGAAAACCAAACAGCGGACTGCAATATTCTAAATGTGGCAAAACGAAGGAGACATCACACTCTAAATGAAAATAGAAGAGAGTACAAAGAAAACGTCATGTGGCCTCTCAAAGACTCTTTTGGTGGGGAGTCGTACACAGACCTTACTTTCTGAGAAGTTACTATCATCCCTCGACTGCTTGATAAAAACTTTATGGGTTGAAGCCTCCATGTAGCTGTTAGCTCTCTGCTTTTAGAAGTATTCCGTACAGCTCAACTCCAGATAGGTATATTCCATATTTTCCGGAGGAATTGACACCCGTTTGGAAAATTCGAAAATAGCGAAAAGGTTTTATTTCCCCTCTTAGAGACCATAGGCGTGAATGATATAAAGACTTATCTACACACTTGCAATGTGGATCCTTCATGTTGATTACAGTTTCAAATACTTCCCAGTTCTCTCCGTCATTAGATCCCTCTAGTCGCCAATTCATAAGTGTCGACTCTCCGTTCCTTTTACCGTCTCTCAAAGAGCAGTTTGTAATTACAAGCTGATAACATGAGCCCAGATCAATATACCACCACGAATGTTTAATTTCTGCTGTTCCGCTGATGGTGCCCCTGCTATGGTCAAATATGTCATTCGCACTTCCCACGCCATCGGAGGATCTGTAAGCTAATAGTTTAGCCGACTCTCTTTTTAAGAAGCATATAACACCTTTACAGCTGTCGCCGAATTGCGTTGAAGTTGGTGAGAAAACATCTAAAGGGAAAAAGACATTTAGTTCAGAAAACAGTTGAAAAGGGAAGCGTAATCCCACACCACCGGACCATTTAATATCCAACAACTGCCTATCCATCCGTTTACTCGTTCATTAATCTGTCATTTTTATCCTTGTTTATATAATCAATAGATCACGTTTGCATCAATTTTACTAATTTATTAGCAGAAATTAAACTGAAACAAATGAGACACTACACGCACCCTATGTGGTTACCTCTTTCATTCCCAGGATCTCATAAGCAATTCTCCTCACTGTCTCCTATACAATTCCTGTTATGTTAGTTGGGAGAATTTGGGTTTGGATCAGCTAATAATCCTCAAATTGATATTTTTCTTTATTCTCCTCACTTGTCTGCTATATAGCGTATTGATATTGTAAGGGGAAATTCTGTCTTGGTCACTGGGAGTTAAAGAGTTGAAAACCTACCATTTCATGTGACAGTAACCAATCGCTATGTTGCAAAAGAAACAGACCGCAATTCTTCTTGGTTAACCGGCCTAATATCCACTTGAAATGGTGAGGAAATTCTGGTCGGAAAAGTTTGTTAATCACTGGTCTTCTACTTGTGCCTCACAAACTTTTTTTATCGTTTTCTCCTAAAATTGTAAGGGGGGTATTAGCCAGTAACTAATTGGGAGGTGTGGTCCATTCCTAATCAGTTTTAAAATTCGAAGTACTGCTCCATCCTCTTACCAACTTTACTTAACTACGTTTCATGAAAAGACAAAAAAAAATTGATTACCATTTTATGTAGTATTGTTTTTTTTATTGTGTAAAGGATAACACATGGCACTATTACCTTTGTGCCTTTGTACTTACGCCTTTTGCAGTTGATGTACTTATCAAGCTTCTCTTGTAGCCTCTTGCTATTCGACTCATCTTTCCTCACTATTTCGTCAAGCTCTGCTATTTCAATTGACAGCTGAGTGTTTTTTTCCCTTAACTGAATGAGCTCTTTTGGATTCCGTAATACTTCGTTCTCGGCCTTAAGAATCTTAATCTTTTCCTCCAATTCTTTTATAACCTCTTCGTTCTTTCTCCTGGTTGTGTCTTGTTTTCGTGTTAATTTTTCTATTCTTGTCAGTTGTTCATGGTTTGACTTTTTCAAGGCATCCCTTTTAAACCTGAGTTGTATGATTTCTTCTTTCAATTTCTTTTTATCTTCTCTCCTTTTTATCTTATCTTCTTC